AATGAATGAGTCAATTTCGGTCCCGACAAAACTAACGCTGTAAATACCCAACATTCGCAGTTACTTTCAATATCTTACGCTGGTGTAGAGGCTAAGGACAATATCTACCGCGCGGACGATCCAGGTCCGAGGGCGGAGTACTAAGGGAGCTGATAGGTTAGGCGGAGTACCAAGGGGGCCGAGGGGCGGAGTTCCACGCTTGAATCGCTACGATACTCGTTTCATCCTGCGTCGATGACATCACACGTTTCCCCCACTCCTGTTTGAACCAAAAATTGCAAAAAGTTTAGCTCCATAAGAAAATACATGGGATTTTGAGCTCGTTTCCGCCTTGTTCATCTACTGATTTGAATTTCCCGCTGAATGCGCGATAGCTGATTGGTTAACTGAATGACGGTAAAAGTGGAGGTGGTCTGAAGTGGGCTTTGAAGGCTAAGGCTAAGTTTACACATAATGACGTCTGGCAGAGACAAGGCGCTGACCTTTGCCCCTTCCGTGTGAAGTGGGCCGAGGTCCAAAAAACGCCAGAATAGACCTGCTCAAATTTGCACGTGTTTTTCCATAAGGAATGGCTTAGAACTCTTGCAGCTATATTACTTTTATACACTCCTGATTTTTCTGAAACTGAACTTTTATCTTTGTCACTCTTTATGTGCATGCCTAATGCACATTAGGTTGTTGGTTTTGAAAGCTGTATTTACACATTCGTTGTGCAGAAAATCTGAAATATTTGTAGTGGGTTGGCCTAAGTAGGTTACAGCGAGAGGAAGACGATGATAAAGAAGGAGAAGATATTGAAATCATAACTTTTTGTTCTTACGGTTAATCAATTTTTTTTAATTTCAACATTCATAAATGTATGAAATGGTATTTTTTAATAAAAACATTGATCAAAAATTTAATTTTCTCTTTTTTATTCATTCACAAAGTAATCAGTATAGACGAGATTAGAATTGAGAAATAGGTGAAAAAATGGAAAAAACGGAAATTATTAGACTCCTCTTCCTTGTGGAGCTCTTGCTGTCTTCTAGCTAAAGCCTGTTCCAGAGTGATGATAGAACAGGCTTCAGCTAGAAGACAGCAAGATCTCCTCAAGGAAGAGGAGCTGCCACAACCAGTACTTGTACTTCCGGAATAGCAGAGCATGTTTGGACTCATCAACATAACATCAAGTGGGCTCAGGCTGAAATCATCCNAAAATTACTCTTTCTGATAGATATGAGGCTATCATAAGAATTAGGCTCAACTCTACTCTTCTGTTTTTGAGGGCCCCAAAAAAATCTATGTATCTTTATATCTATCTATCTTTTAGTTGTGGAAAAGTAAAGCAGAGATCATATGATTGAATTCAAGCTAGTTATCCAAAGAAAGGAATTACACACATCGAAATAAAGAATACAATTGAAAAATCAACAAAACGTTTTATAATGATTCGCATTTGGATCTACCCTACATTCGAACTTTATGGTAAAACATCGACTAAAAACATCTAATCAGCCATATCGCGCGAAATGGCGTGATTTAAAGGGGAAGTCTGTGAGAGATTGTGCCACTCAGATAAAAGGTTTCTCGCATTATAATTGAAAGCAATTTTGTAGAAAACCTAAATCAATTACAATGGCCTAGATTAACAACAATCCCAACATTTTTTTTGTTATTGCAGTAAGTGGAATGTATGTGTTGATGAAGGCACCCTTCGATGTCGGATAACGAAATTTGGTTCCGGAGATTTCAGGCCTGAGGATGGTCCTCGAAGTGGTCGACCTACAGTAATGAAGGACGAGGATTTGGGGACCCTAGGGGAGACTGATCCATCATAAACGCTGTACGGAATAACGAAAGAACTGAGCGTCAGCTTTCATGCGGTTTTTGATGGTTTGGAACGTATTTGAAACGTCAAAATTTACGAAAAAAGGGTGCAACACGATTTGAACGATCGATGGAAACTGTAGGGATGGCCCATCTTCAGTCAACCCCCACTCCTTCACTTGTTGTCATGACCCAGTCGACCAATCAGAAGCTACCGCGGGAAATTCAAACCAGTAGATGAGCAAGCTTGGTCCGAGCTCAAAATCCCATGTATTTTCTTATGGAGCTAAACTTTTTGCAATTTTTAGGTCAAACGAGAGATTCAAAGAGCGTGGAACTCCGCCCCTTGGCCTCCTTAGTACTCCGCCTCACTCCTCAGCCCCTTAGTACTTCGCCTCACCCCTCGGATACCCTTGTCACGTTCCAGTCACGTGATTCTAATTTAAAAACAGTTTATAGGTATGAGATTTGAACCCAGGACTTCGGCGTGGTTGACTTTGTCCTTAGCCTTGACACCAACGTGGAATATTGGAAGTAATTGCGAATTGTTGATATGTATAGCTGTTGTTTTGTCGGGACCGAAATTGACTCATTCTTTATACTTGACCACATTTTTTTGGTTTCCGTTGAAATTTAGGAAAATTGTAACATTTTCTCGTAGAAGATAGGAAAATTCTTGGATTTGGGGAAGAATTGATGTTTCATATGAAGGTGTGTGTTTGTAAGAGTGAGAGAGACACGTAACATAGTTTTAATCTTCCTCTTTGAAGATGATCACTTGGTGATCGAAACACGTGTCGAGGTGTTGAAAATAACGATTTGGTGTTGGGAAAAAACTCCAGTAATATTCATTACTACACCAAACGTTCCAAACAGTGCATCATACGTGTGATGTAGTCGACGCAAAGAGAAATGGAGATTGTATTGAGGTGATACGCCGCCCGAGAATACCTACCACAGAGAAGCGACAAAGACGGCCATTTTGTGTCCCTTCGGCTTGGTTGTCTCCACGTCATTCTCGGGCTTAGTTGTCTCCATTAGTCTATGAGCACTGAGCAAACATTATGAGGTAGGTAGTTAGTTATAAAAGGTATCTACCTAACTCGGTATACATCAAAATTATTTTATTTAAGTAAGAGTTTTCAGGACATAATTAGTTTTGAAGAATCCATCGTGAGAGAAACAGAAAATTCAGCAATATTTAAGGCACTTGAAATTAAAATTAAAACAATGCTCGAACAGGACAAGCGATGTATGATATCTACAGATGAGATGGCTTTAAAATCCAATCTGTTTTTTGATACAGGATGTGATGAAATTATTGGTTTCGAAGATATTTGAGAGGCAAATGAGAGGAATTCCATATGTAGAAATGTTATTAAACGTTATTATGGCTAAAGGACTTTATTCTCCCTGGAAACAGATTACTTTTTTTCATTGAATCACAGCTACCAGCAAAAAATTTACGTGATATTTTGGATAAGTGCATTTCTAAATTATCCAATATAGGTCTGCATGTTGATGGCATTGTGAGTGACATGGGCTCTAACTTTTATGAATCAAAGTCAAAGTTATTAGGGGTCACTTTANTTATTTAATTTATTTCTTAAAAGCCAATTCATCATAAATAATAATAAATGGGTAACATAGTTGAATATTCTCTATTATTACTGCGAAAGTTGTTCAATTAGCAATATAAAAATTGAATGGAGTAAGATTCCCTTCACACTATAATTTTATATTTCACAGTAAGCCCACGTACTGTACTAGAACGTAAGAGTATGTATTGTTATTAGTGTATATCGCTGAGAGGTCATTTTTCTCAGTGAACCAGGTTGTGTATTACTCAAAATCTTCAGTTCGCAGTTGGGACACCGAACATCAAAGGATCCGACGTTAATGTCGCTTCTCTGTGTTGGGTATTCTTGGACGCCGCCAATATCAACATGTCAGGTTCAGTGTTGTCGGTTGTAAAATAAATCGTTGTTTTTGGGGTGATGTAGCGTTGCCGGTTTCAAAATAAAGCATGAGGAATTAGGGAAACGACTTGATAAAAAAATTGTATTGGAAACGCCACCACTTCAGAAAATGTTTGATGATGATTTGTTAAAATAAATGAGTAATCACAAAAAAATGGCGCAACACTCAGAAGGGCACTAAGTTGTATACTTGCTAATAATGATCGGATCGTTACGTATAGCACGTCAAATAAAAGAAGAAAATACGCAGAATTCATCGACAGAGAAAAAACAAAATAACTCAATATGTCAGAAGGACACTAAGTCACAATTTCATTAATGACAGTTGAATCTCAACTTGTAGCACATCAAATGAAAGAGAAATGAATGTAGAATGTATCGACAAAGAAAAAAACAAAGATGGCGCAACATGTTAGGAGGGTACTAAGCCGTATTTTCGTTAATAATAATTTGTTCTCAACGTACAGCACATCAAATGAAGTAGAAACGAATGCAGAATTCATCGACAAAAAAATAACAAACAAAAATGATGCCAAGAGAGCAGTATCTTCGCTAATAATAGTCGCATTGTCATGTGTATCACATCAAATTTTTTTTTGTTTCCCAAACGGCACCTTATACAAGTTTTTTTTCTGTTTATGTTCATCTCCTTATGATACTAACTTGGTTAACGAAGAAACGGCTTTTAGTGTCCCCTTCGTCATGTTCCTCCCATCATGCCTAATTTCAAAAAATCGGCAACGCTTCATACGCCACATCGCCCCATAAACAACGATTCATTTTACAACTGACAACACCGCACCTGTGATGCTTGCGCTGCTTGCCGTCCACACGTTATCTTATCTTTAAAACCGATCAGCTCTCCCATACCCATACGTCAACCAGGCTCCTCTAACGCTCACACACACGTCCATTCTCTCGCTCTTACACATACACCTCTTACGAAAAAACGAATTGAGGTTAGGTGAAAAAATAATTAAGCGTCGGCTTACCATTACTACTCACTTTGAATTTATCAGTTTATTATGAATTCTGTTTCAATATGAATTTATGCTAACTTATTATTAGTTAAAAAAGGTGTTCACAACNAATTCACCTCCCTTAAGAAAAAATATAAATGAGAAAATATAAAAAAAATATCTGATACCACATACCTACTGTTTAATTTCTTATGAGCTGGTTAATCGGTTACTCTCGTTTTACTTGTACCTATTTTGAGATTATTATCAGCTGAAATCGGGCTAACAAAGAGCTATAGTCTTCCAAATAAGTTTCTACTCACTATTCCAGAGATGGTTATCTCTCCACTTGTTGATAATGGTAACAGATCCGTGAGGATTGTCTGATCCAACGCACTCTCAAGTTCTTCTAGGCTACAGTTGAATTGAGGCTCTAACTTTTTCCACCATTCATAACCGTATGTTCCCATTATGATCCACTGATATTTTTTTCCGAACATTTTCAGTTTGTAAGCTTCACAGAAAATTTCCCTAGCCCATCTCTCATTGAAATTCCCTAGAACATTACGTTACCTTCATAACTGATTAATATGAAAAGATCCGAACAAATCGGTTTTACCTAAAATTATCCTTGTATCCTTTTCCTTCAATTTCGTTAGGGCGCTGTTCACTTCATTTGTGAAACTTTGAGTTTCAAGGACTTGATAACTCATTGTATCCAGTTCAGCTACCAACCTAAGAGTTCAATTCAATTTTAGACAAAGATTTTCCTTTACTTCGAATATGTAATAATGATACACAAGATCAACAATGAAAGAAAACGCCCTTTTCAATATCAGATTTGTATATTGTTTTTAAAACAGCAATATGCTTTTCAAATGAGTTGTGCATTATATTTTTCTAGAATTGCACTATTTTAGTACTTTGGCGTACCATCGAAATAAATTGTCGAAACTACATTAAATTGTTAATTTTTGTTACTAGCTTGGATTGCAAGCTTCAAAAGAGGTTAATTCCGATCGGAAAGGGCGTTTTCTGTGTCCACTCCCGTGAATATCACTGCAATCATTTCATCAAATCGTCGAATTATTCTGATAATGTCTACAGCCAGACATTGCCCGAAAATCAATTTGCAACAATGTTAAGGTTTTATGCCACAGATCAAACAATTTTGTTGATGTCGAATGTCAATTCGTTTTGAGCCCCGTAATTGGCGTATACAGCGCATGCTGTATGTGAGTAAGTAGTATTCAGAAGTATTTTCAATCGTCATTCTGTTATTTGAATCCCCAGTTTCCCACTCATCTATATAAACGAAATATTCATTATATATATTCTTATATAATCAGAAATGATTATTGAATAACAAAATTCGTTGTTTCTCTTACTATATTATTAAAGGGAAACTGTTGGAAGGTAGGTTGCACTATATCGTTTACTTGAACTATACCTTATGTATACAATGTCCTCTTTAACATCATTTCAATTTGAATCGAATTTTACCAACCTATTATGTGCTAAAGAGTACCGAGGTTCATTTTGATATATTGTTCCCACTTTAGTCCAGTTGAACTGCTTCAGCAGTGACAGTCTTGGAGAATTGAATGCGTTCTCAGACGGTACTATCCGAAAAAAGTTTGGAAAATTTTCTTTTGTGAACATCGGGTGAGTATCCGCATAAGATAACTGAAATAAATAGTATGTTGTAACTATCTTTGATTAAATATAGACAACAGAGTACCTGAGTGAGATGCCAATGTTTCGAAGCTTTGGCTATCGGATCGGTAACGTGGGTACAGGCACCTCCGAAGAGCATCAGCTTATGGGGACCACTATGCATCATGTCAAAAAATGCTTTCACACCCACTGCAGCATTACACTGTGGAATAAATACACTGCAATCAATTTTCAGTTTGAAAATGTTCAGGTCAAAAAGATGTAATGTTGGAAAATACTACGCATACTGTCCACTTGAACTCTGGAGGATATACAGGGTGTCAATTTGAAAACTTTCCACCCTTAATATCTTCCTCCCAGTAAATAATATGAGAAATCAAAAAAGCTGGTCAATTTAACCGTTAAAGGGGACACTTTCGAAGACTATTTGTAGCCCTTGTGGTTCAACCCCCTAGAAAGGGTAAATGCTACCGTTAGAATTTCAAATGGGAATGGGGTCAAGTGGCACATCATTTTGATTGGCGTCCAATTCTGCTTTCAATGGTTCCCTGACTTATCATTTTTCGATGAGCGTTTTTCAAAAAATAGCGTTCTAAACTTACACATGTAATTAGAATTTGCCTGTTGTGAGATGCATTATTGTATTGACTCCTTTTATTAAAAATAGTTAGAAAATTAGGTGGCAGCGTTCCAACCCTTGAATGACAGGAATAAATGTATTATTGTTGGTTATTATCCTTTTACAAAATAAAATTAAATTTGCGAGAAAGACATTTTATCAAACATAAAGTCTACTTACGCTCATCTCAGGAACTATTCGAAATGTACTCAATTTTGTTCTAAACAGTAATGAAGTGTGTTTGTTTTTTAACTCCCTCTAACATTACAGAAAACTTAACTAGAAATTGACTGGCATGCTGCTGTAATTCATCTTTTAAGTTCTTCAATATCAGAAGTTTGTGTTTTATAAACAACGGTTTCAAGATGCCTCCAGAAAAAGAAACATGAGGGTGTTGAATACAGTGATCTCGGAGGCCATTCGACTGCTCTCTTTCTGCCAATTCATCCATCCGAAAATATCTCGTTCATCCCCTGTCGAACGGGAAGAAAATAATGAGGTGGAAATGTAACAGATCCTTCTTCAAAAGTTCATTACTTCCCGCATTGGGTTTCTAGCTCGTGAATTATAAGAGGAACGATAGTCTCTTCAAGCATTTCAACGTACAGATTCCCAGTCCAGTTTTTTTACAGAAATAATGGTTTTCGTCACTCCCATAGCGACAATTTCGTCTATTAACATTGCCATTCAGAAAAAATGAAACTCATCACTGAAACAGATGTTTAACAGAATATTAGGGATGGCATTGACTTGATGTTACATGATTTCACAAAACTTTATTCATCTATCATAATCACCACCGTGGAGCTCTTGAAGAATCTGAATTTCATAAGGATGAAATTTATGCGTTTTCAATCCTTTTCTCACAGTCTCGCATAACATTCCCGTCTATTCTGATACTGATCGTGAGGAGCCAGTTTCGTAAAAATTATCGAGCAAATCAAGCACATACCGGTGATTTACATTACAATTTGGATGTCTTTTGTTAAAAAGACATGCCGCCCTTCGTGCGCACTTTCCAACTTTTCCACAAATTATAATCATTCCAATTCTATCTTGAGGAATGTGAACCATTTTTACACTTTCATACACTTATTAGAGTAATCACTAAATAGCCCAACAGGTACAACTGTATGCACCATACTACCACATCGTTCAAATTTGGGAACCAATTTTTTGGCTGAAAACAGAACTTTTTTACAGCAGAAACGGCAAAAAAGGACAGCTATCTGAACACTTTCTGTGATGAGAATGAAAATTCAGCATTTACTAAACACAACTTTACTACCATCTACGTTTGACTTTCAGACTACTTTTTGATGAAAATGTATTGAAGCTAATGGCTAATGTTACACCTAATAAAGGGTTGGAACGATACTACCTAATATTCTTACCAGTATATGCGTACTAATAATTATTTCTGTTAGTTTAGAACGCTATTTTTCGAAAAATGATCGTCAAAATATAGTAAGTCAAGGTAATGGAAGCAGAGTCAAACGCCAATCAAAATGATGTGCCACTTGATCCTCCTTCCCATTTTAAATTCTAAAGGTAACATCTACCCCTCCTAAGGGGTTGAACCACGAAGGCCACAAATAGTTCTTGAAAGTGCCCCCCTTGACAATAACATTGACCTGTTTTTACGATTCCAAATATTTTCAACTGCAAGGAAGATATTGAGGGTGGGAAGTTTTCAAATTGACACCCTGTATAAGTATAATCCAATACATGGGGTCTAATTTGAAAACTCATTATACTTGATCTAATTGTTTCAAATCGGATAGAATGAAGTCGGGGTTCGAATGTCTATACCGTATTTCACCATTNCTTAAAGGTCCTAATGTTGCAGGTCCTCGTTTGTTCAATATTTTACCAACTGAAATAAAAGAAAGCAAAACATTAGAGATGTTCAAAACAAAGATTAAAATTTTTTTAGTTCTGAATGCGTATTACAGTGTTGATGATTATTTAACGTAAGTGTATGTGTGGTGTGTGCATGCGTTTTCGTGTGTGCTTCTAGTTTTAGTGTAGTAGTTTATAATTTTAGTTTTACTGACTATTCCTAATACAATAACTTATGAAATTATCGAACAGGAAAATAAAGGATTTGATTTGATTCACCTAGCGGTTGGCATTTTACACTTGTTCGCTGAGTAAACGGGTACCGTGATTCACACAGTGAGATCGAGGATCCAGCGGTGCAAAGATGTATTGCAGTGCCGCTTTCGACACTTTGACAGTAAAGGGTGTGGTGTACTCGATTCGGGGCACTCATGCTTCATAGTTGTGAAATTGTCGATAGGGGTTTCACTCGTTTATACTTGTTTGTATGAATGCTCTGTACTCATGGTCAATGGTACATGAATATCTACATACCCAAGTTCAGGTTTACTTTCCTCTCATAGATTATTCCGTGTATGCAATTTTTTATCAGGGTCGTTCCTTCACACATTTCTTTCAATATTTACTTTCATTAGTTCAATATTACTTTATTTACTTTCAATAGTCACTTGACCATGAAACCTCTTTTCCATTCTCCGCCTATGACTTGGCCTTAAAATGCATGTGACGTCACATGATCTACATCATCACCATGAAACCCCCTTTCAACTCTCCGCCTATGATTTGTTTTCGAAAGCCACCACGAGTCGATTACCTTGTGTCGCACGTCAAATGACAGCATCACGCAACCTTAAGCAGCATGTGACCTTGAAGTGACTGATAACATCAAGCGACTTCGAGTTGCGACCTTGAAAACTGAGTTTTGTCTTGAGTCATCTCGTGAAATTCATACTGAAATTTTGTCATGGTAATTTATTTTACATATGATTACAAATTTCTACATTCAAAGATTCTACACTTTTGAGTCAAATTATTGAATATTGGATTCATTTCCAGTAACAACCAGAGGAGATTTTTCATCACTGAAAATATTGTCTCCAAAAATATCAACACATTTATTTCAAATTTTAGATTTCATGTGCCCAATTCGATTTTTAAACGCTGTCTTATTAGAGTCCATAAAGTGATTGGACGCAATAAAAAATACATGTTCCGAAATCCACTCTGCGAGAGTATTGGGTGGTAGAATTTGTAATGGGTCATAATTCAAACCGTTGTTAAAAACACCCTTCCCTTATAATAGACAAATGTCCATTGTGTAGGAGCCTAATAACGTTGTTTATTACCGATGATAATTGTAAATCAACATTTTATGTATACTTCAGAGATTAAACACGATGAAATTGACCGAACGATAATAGAGAATACATGTTGCGAAGTGTGGGAAAGTCAACTCTGCGAACCGGTGTGAAGTTAGCAGCCAAAGTCAGCAGCTCTTTTTCCGAAAATACCCGAATGGTCAGTAGCGTACCGAAATCGTGATAATGTTTTTTTGGGTTCCTGATGTGCCTTAACGTAAAAGCATATAGCTATACTGCATATTCTGTATCAAGACAAATCTCATCGGCCCCGTCCAAGAGGGTTAAACACACCCCCAAAATGAAAAAAAATTCTTGAAGTATGAAGGAAACGAAAAGCCACTTCGAAATCAATAAGAATGATTTGTGGCAATATATTCTTTACTCGGTATGAATGAAAATCTCTTCGGCCCCGTCCAAGAGGGTTGAACACACCTCCCAAAATGAAAAAAAATTCTTGAAGTATGAAGGAATAGTTTTTAACTTTCTACTACTCCATCTGAAATGTTCCATAACTGTTTAGATTTGTCAGTATATCAACTCATTCCATATATTGTTATCATGCATCTAGCGACAAACAATTGTCAGTAATCAATTAATTTTTCATAAAGTCAATATGAATATTTCACATGAAGCAAAGTCTGTAGGAAAAATTCTGTTTCAATAAAAGGTGATGTTTTGAAGGTTGACATTGGAGTGTTGACTCCAATGTATTGATTGAATGATGTAATGATTGAATATTATTGATAATAACCATGATAGAAAAACAAAAGTTTGTTATTAATCGAGTTTTTCAAGAAATCAATATGAATCTTTCGACTGGAGCAAAGTGTTATTCCATTATTGAAAATATTGTCTCCAAAGATCAACACCTTCATTCTTATTTTAGATTTCATTTCATCGATTTTTGAACGCTACAAAAAAATTACCATACAAATTACTTTTTAGAGCTTAGTGAGAAGTATGTGGTGTGGTATTGTGTCATGAATATCCGTATGGAAGCAGGAATTTGGGCGAGTTGTGAGCGCCTATCTGCCGCAGAATATAGGGAAGTATCATTTAGAACCGCGGAGTCCGAACTCCCATTCCACAACTGGAAGAATCATCAAATGATGATGTTGTAAATATTTCAAATGAGTTAAAAAGGAAATCATTGTTTCAATCCATATTTGTATACATCTAATCATTTGGTGAATGAAAGACTGAAACTAATTATTGAGTGTTTTAATATTTATTTTCTTATCGAATATTTCATGGTGAATTACATGTCAAGTCTTATTACAATACAGTCTGAACAGAGCATACACTTTGGTGTTTGCTGGAAACTTCACCTTGCTTGTTTCGAATTCTATTTTAATATCCAGAGTGGATGACTTCATAGCTTCGGGTTAGCGGGAACAGTCGATGATAAATAATGGATTGTTGTGAAAGTTACCAATATCAATCATCGGTCCACTCATAGCTTTATCGTATATGCATAGTAGGCTAGTGAGTCTTATTTCTTGTCAAAATCCAGATTTTAGCTCATAACCCATATATCTGGGGATGTATCACGAAGTGTGGATAATTCATAAAATTCATACGATAAACATACTACACACTACATACCATTTTTATTGATGAGGTTCAATAACGTCAGTCTGGTGATCTTCTGGCACAAAGTGTCTCCATTTCATTTTATTAATTTCCAAATCTGCATCTACTTCCCCAATGAATGATTTTTTGAATAAACATGCTATAATCAAAATGAACTTCTGCTTTACATTCGATAAACCCTTATTTTAATCTTCAGCAAAACCCATGAGATACTTCAAGAGTGATTCACCACTGAATACATTCCTGACGGAATCCAATATATTTTGATTATGCACTTCAAGGCCCCATCCGATGGGTAGTAAAGAATTTGTATGTGTTTGTCCGAATGATATCATTGTTTTCATTGTGGTGGTTATGCAGGGTTTTCGAACAACAACCACTTGCTCACCACACATTTCATAGCGAATTTCGTCGAAGAGGTAGGCGATTGCGTTATTGGATAGGTAGCATTTCTTGATGCAATATTATAATGATAATAATAATGTTTTTATTGATAGGAAACAAAATACAGTGTGTTATGTCTGAAGGTGGGCCGGGAGTTAAATAATACTTCCAACACTAATTGATCAGGTTTTACTTCACTTTTCTTTACAACTCGCATTACAATGTCCTCTACATGGCATCCCGAATTCACCTCCCGGAAGGTATCTCTGCGCATGCTCGCCTGTGTGGCGGCAAATACAAACAGTATACAACACCCTCACACTGAGAT